TCTATACTGGAAAAGACCTGGCACTTGGGTAAAAGGTAAAAGTTTGTATACATAGAAAATGCAACTCTTATTTGAGATTTAAGGAGCAGAATGAAGCATGTGCTTGTATGTGCTTGAACGATTTCAGTAAGCTATATTAAAGTGAAAAGATAAATGGCTTGTATGTGCTTGAACGATTTCAGTAAGCTATATTAAAGTGAAAAGATAAATGAACTGTCAAATCTTGAGTAAAGAGTACCTGGTGGTGCCCACATAATCTACTTTAAAGAGTATAGTTTTGGGAAAACTGAGGAGTAAGAGGTTTGTGGTACTGGTTGTCAAGAGAGATTAATAGAAAAAAATATACAAGCAGCTTACCTATAACTATCATTATTGAATTATTGATAAAATTCTAAGTTGCTAAGCCCCACACTGTCTGTGTTTGACAAGTCCTATTGATAAATTAAGGGGCAATCAATTGATAAAAGAGCTTTTCTAAGCCTCACCCAGGTCATAATCTTGACTGTCCCAAAATGCTGCACATCATGTATTTTCATGTATTCACTGCCCTTATTGTTGCTACTGTCTCTGCATCAACTTTACAACATCATGCTGATGTCAATAATGATGTGTTGATAAAACTAGTTGAAAGACTGGACAAGCAGGAACAAGAGATGAAAAAACTGAAAGTTGAGGTTGCTGCAGTGAGGCAGGAAAACGAACAACTTAAGGTATTTTGTACTTGAAATTCTGCCCAACCCCAACATTGGGAATTTCCCACAAATTGGTATATCTTAACTATCATCAATTATAAACATTAACATCTTTAACAACCTATAGCTATGTTCAACAATTTCCAAATACTGAAAATGACATATCTATAGTACAAAGACTAATCTAATCTTTTCAATCAGTCAGATATTCAGAAAATCAAGTTGAAGCTTGATGCACAAACTGCCACTGTCCCTGAAAGAAATGCAACAAATCTTCGCCATGGAAACCATTTTATTACCAAGCGACAAGTGCAGCAAGGAAATTGTAAGCTATCATTTGTTGAAAATCTTGAACTAACATTTTATACAATATAAAATATATCAAGAGGATATATTGATTTTAGATAATATTATTTTTGACAACAGACATTTTATGGTTGAGCATCAACTTGCAGCATCTGTATCCTGTTAAAAGCCAGCAATTCAAACCACTGTGTCCTATATTTTAGTGGTAAGTTCAGGATGTTTGCAAGGACCCCAGGGACCCCCAGGAAGAGATGGCAGGGACGGCAAGGATGGAAAAGATGGCAGAGATGGGAAAGATGGCATTCAGGTAACTTTCTGCTCTTCACTTATGACAAATTGCATGACTTTTAGAATAAATTTTCTTTCTGGAATAAAATTTTATGGCATCATATGTAATAATTATTATAATAATTATATAATATTTGACAATTGCTTCTAGAGTATGAAGCTAGGGGCATGTGACACACATAATTTGGAACTGATAAAACTAATAAAAAAATAAAAAGAACCAAATGAATATCATATATAATTTTTTTTTTTTTGATGTAGATATGATTTAATTTTAACATAATCCTTTTTCGTTCTCATTGTGGGAAATGACAAAATGTGGACACTTCAATGTTTTTTATTACAAAATATCTCAAATAATCCACAGAACCCAGGTTTAACAGTAGACAGTCTCAAGCAAATCATTGGACTGCTTGGATATCAGTCAGCTTTACAAGGTAATGGTAGGTTTATTTTCTTTGCTATAGTTTAAAGCAAAAAACCTTTTGCTATAGCACAAGGTCTTATCAAATGATGCATTTTCTTTCTAAACAATAAAATTCTCATTTTATTTAACAAACATTATGAAGAATGATCACTTAGTAGAAACAGTAAAATTTCAGATGTAAAATGATATGTTAATTCATATTTCAATTTAGCTGTACTACTTAATATTATACAAATATTGATTTTGGGTGAGGTCACCTCTGGGCTACGTTTGGCCTGATGTTGTGATGACTGACTGATGCCTTGTGAATGTGATATGCAATTAAAAGAAATCTATCTGAATTATTATCACGTTATTATACTTTTCAGTTGTCAACTCCTCCAGGAGCAGTGTTCAGGGACCCCAGGGATTACCTGGGAGAGATGGTAAAGATGGCAGAGATGGAATACAGGTGAAACTTAGCATGATAACTATACATTCAATAGCTTTGTAATTCAAAATTATGATTGAAAATTTATATTTATTTTGATTTAAAATTAGAGTATAATGCAATTCATAAACCAAGACATCCACTTTTTTAAATATGATGATAATGGATCGCTTTATATTGAAAACATAATAATATATGTTCCTTTGTTAAATATCTATATATATATTTCAATATATTTATTCAATTTCCTAAGGGACCACCTGGACCTAAAGGGGACCCAGGATCTCTAACATTGGATACCCTCAAACAAATGCTGGGACAAATTGGAGCTCAAATAGGAGTGCCACCTACAGGTTTGTCTGGTGTTTTGACTACATGAATCTCTTCCTTTTAGTTTTGTTAATTTTTTTTTTTTTTTTTTTTTTTTGAATCTCGGAAATATGTTCTGTATTCTTGTCCACTGACTTCATTTACAGATTCATTTTTTCCATTTTATTGAAGGTTTTACTTATTAGTTAAGAGACAGATGAGTGGGACAAGGGTTGGTGTGTAAAAATAAGTTTGATGTCAATTTTGATAGTGTTACATTTTCATGTTATCTGGTCTAAAAGCAATACCAGTCATAGTAGGGTGATGTTCACAATATGGTGGTCTCGGTTTAATGTATGTTTTCAGGTCTGCCGGCCACCAGCAACCATGGTGGTGCAGTGTTTACACGTTGGGGCAGAACATCTTGTTCAACACAATCTGAACTTTTGTACAAAGGTAATTAAAATACACGTTATAATGCATGGTTTTACTAGGGATAATTCAGTATATTGTACTTGTACTATATTTTTTCAGATTTTATACTTGATCTTCTTCTGCATAAAAAAAGTAGGCAACTAAATATATAAGGTTACAGTTTTAATTATTTCATTTCCAAATAGAAAACGTCTGAATAATATAACTTTATCTTTAGGGATAGCTTCTGGAACTGAGTATCTCAAAACTGGAGGAGGCAGTAATTACCTGTGTTTGCCACAGACACCAGAGTGGGGGAAATACCAAGATGGAGGGCAAGATTTAGGTTCTTACATACATGGGGTGGAATATCAGAATGTAAAACCTAACATATTTTCAACAACCAATACAGGAGGTCAAAATTTTGCTGAGCATGATGCCCCCTGTGCTGTATGCTACACCCAAACACGCCCCAGTCATGTGATGATACCAGCCAAGAAGACATGTCCAGCTGGGTGGACAACAGAGTACAATGGATACCTGGTATCAGCTCATGACTCACACCAGAGAACTGAGTTTGTCTGCCTTGATGAAGCTCCCGAAGTGGTAGCTGGAGGCCATGAGAACAAAAATGGTGCCTTGTTCTACACTGCTGAAGCTAAGTGTGGTTCTCTCCCCTGTCCACCATATGTGGATGGAAGAGAACTGACTTGTGTTGTCTGTACTAACTAGTGGCCATACCAAGACTGACCTGTGTTGTTTTTCAATAATGACTTAAGGAATTGCTGATATGTTGAAATCAAGGTTACTGTAGTGACATTTCAAGAAAACATGGCATGTTGTATTCGCTACATACAATTATCTTAAAACCAAAATTTGCCTGAATTATGGAAACAATTCAAACAAATGGCGATCAGTCAGACCTGTTGTGGGTCAGACCTGCCGTGAGTCAGACCTACGTATCATGGAATTAACTGTAAAAGCCAATGATTTGAGTCAATATATATATACCATAAGCAAATAGAAAAGCTTGAGAGGGTTGTATTCACTTTCAACAGCACCCCACTTGACACCTGTGTCATACTTAGACATCTTACCTGCTGGGTTCACCCTGGGAGGAATGGTATCACCACTAGCTGGGAGTTGGGAATCACCTGTGACACACTTAGACATCTTACCTGTTGGGTTCACCCCGGGGGAATGGTATCACCACCAGCTGGGAGTTGGGAATCACAGAGGTCCAGGTGCTGTTCAGTAAAGGCTGCAAATACATACAAATAAATTCCAATGACTTTTTGAATGATTCTTATAAAAAATGCAGTTGCATGTATAATAACATTTAGTAAACAAACCACATACATGTAATTACACATATATGTTAACATAGTTACAATGGAGGTGATTATTCATAGAAAGAATCATGTTGTGTTTATCTCACAATGGCCTTTCATTGTTTCAGAAAGCACAACTTAGGACAAGAACTTTACAGGTTTTGTTTATTATGTCTTTGATACAATATTTAATTTCTGTAATTTAAGCTATTTTTTATATTTAATATCTAAAGATGAAAAGCCTTGGAAGGGCTGAAAAGGACTGAATTGTGAAATGCGACAACAGAATGAAAATCATCACAATGAACACCAGCATTTTGGGTCAGGTTTTTTCACAGTTTGTGAAAAAATTAAGAAAATTAGCATCTGAGTAAGCTATTCTATTAGATAAAGCAACTTTTGAGCAGTGATTTATTGAAATTGTCTTACTTATACATGTCAAATCTTAAAATCCTGTTTAAAAAGTAACCAAATACAAATTATTAATAATGAATGAAAGAAGCTTTTGATGGCTTAAGATGGCCAAGAGTTTTGTTTTTTGCTGACCGAAAATCAGACTTAATCAAGACAAGCATAATGAGTGGATGCAAAATATGAAAATGACATTAAATTTTAGGAGTAAACCATGAAAGATAGGTATTTTAAATTTCCAAAACAATATTTACTTATCAATAAAAAGTCAAAACTTTTTTTTAGGTTGGGGTATACCCATCACAAAAAGTTACCTAAAAGGCAATTACTGAGGTGAGTAACTTTCTTTATTATTATTCATTCATTCATTCATTTATTTAATTGAGATACAAATAGAACAGCTTTACCTGACCCTTGGGTTGTGGTATCCCCACAGCTAATGTGTCCACAAAGTTTGGCATCTCTGCCAGGCCAAACAGTGTGTAAGGTAACTGTAGAGAGAAATGGGCAGACTGCGACAGCTGGCCAGCTGAAATAACCAGAACCACTCCAGGTTAACCACTTATTTTTAAGTTAAGACAAATATCTAGCCAAATTTATAAATCAAAAGAGAGAGTTAACACAACTAGAGGATCAGAGAGGCGATACCGCCTCCGAATATTGTACCACCAGCTGGAGCAAGCGCATTCATATAGATCCCCACATATACNCTCGCAGGGGCGCACTATTGTTCCTATCTCCCATTGAGAGTGTTATCGGCAATGATATCCTGATCGTATCATTGTCTTGAATCAACTGACGCATTACCTTCATGTTTGAGCTGGACAACGCGGCCATATTTGGTGACGAACTTTTCAAAAATTATCGAGTACCTCATTTTCAAGGTCGACGAAGTTTTCAAAGGGAAAAAAATTACGTCGGCGGAAAATCGTCTGCCAACGAAATTTTCAAGAACGACGAAATTTTCAAGACTTTACTGTAGCATTCTTACCTTTAATAATTACATCTTCATTTTCAATGAATTTTTCATTACATTATTTTAAGCTGTTAAACCTTGCTGCCTTATTCTCATTATCTTCCCCATGTTGCGCATCCTACTGACTTCCTTCACTTAAAAGTTTCTGACTTAAATTATTAAACATAGTGAAAACTGTTTATTCACTCCTAACAGTATTATAATACTGTTTATTCACTCCTAACAGTATTATAAATACAATTTTGTCCTCCTTACATTGCTCAACACATTCCTGCACTTGGATTCAAAGTTTTAAACCATTTCTCAATATTAAATAAGTAAGTTTCCAATGACTGGAAAGTCGTTTAGACTGCCACGTCTTCCTATAATAAGGACATCATGTATGATGTACTGTAAATAATTTGAGGGGTACTTGTTAAAATACTTAGCTCTGCAGGATATGCACAAGTAGATATAGAAAATGTTAGTTTAAGACATTTTCAAACACAGAGTATACATGTTCCTCTAACATTCCTCTTAAAAAAACACACTATTTGGCTAATGTGTACAGTCCTTTGCTATAACATGGACTCATTATATATATCAAATATGTCCACGGCCTTGGTGAGTCATATCATCACAAACTCAGGGGTGAGTTGAGACGGTCAGATTTTCAATTTTACACTGACGTGTGTCTAATTTTTTTGCTGCCGGAAGACGGTAAAAAAATGGAGGATGGATAAACAAAGATAATTTGGAAGACTGTCAGAAAAGATCTCTGGATCCACACCTGAATATGTCCAAGGCCCAGGTTAGTCATATCACCACACACTCACCTTGAACTAAGTAATACACCAGCAGTGCTGCCATGTGTTCAGACTGTTCTTCACTGGCGCCTGCCGTAAGACTGAGCCCAGACTGTTGGTACAGCACTTCCGCACTCACGCACCCCTAGGAATGGGAACAAACACATATGATTTTATGTCTACCGTACAGTCTGGTTCTTATACACTACAGTGTCAAGTTAACTGGGCCTTAGTGCTGTTCATAATTTTCCCAGCTTTTTTTCTTTTGTATTATTATTTATTTATTTATTTTTGGCAGATTCAAATTGTCTGTAGATGCTTCTAGCTCCAGGGAGCAGATAGCTCTGCATACATTGGAATGATGACATGCCCATACAGTACTACAACATTTATTGACTTTTACGAACTGAGGACAAAATCATCATCATCACAATGTATTAAACAATATTTTCTGATTTGTGAATCACAGTCAGAAAAACAAAAGCTTCAGAAATCAAATGAACTTAGAAGTCATTTCATTGACATGCATAAGACAACACTTTTATTATTAATTTCCCAGATTACCGCAGCACCCTGGTCTGTGTTAGGTGTGTAGGTTTTGTTGACATCTTCTAGGTAATGTTCCCACTGATGAAGGGTACTGTAATTGGTTGGAGTGGAGCCATGTGGACTGGTCAGAAACTGAAAATGTGTTATATAACATCACAACGGTGTTAAGAAACAGTCTTTCTGTGATGGACCAGTCAATCATTTCCACAAAATCTATGATTAAGTTAAATGCATAACACATACTAAATAGAAATAATATCACCTATGTTTACTTATTTTTATCTTTTACTCTTTAAAAATATTAACAAATTTCATGTTCAAATATACAAGGTTTCTATCAACACTCAACTATTTGATCTTATAATTTTACTTGAAAAGTAAGGCATTTATAACATTAATTTGTTTGGTAAATGAGTATGAATCACTACACTCCAACACAAAACTTCAGTCAATTTTATCATTTTATATTATAAAAATCTCAAATAAAAAAAAGTTAATAAAATTGGTTAACTCCTTGGAAACAAGCAAAATGATTTCTTCATTAGTAACAATCAATTATACCTTCATAAACGCATCTGCAAAGAAGCTGAATGGCAATGTGGAATTCAAATTGCACACCCCACTCTCCTGACCATGGAGGAAGTAAAGTATGAGCACGCTGGCCTGGTTGTACTGCTCCTCGCTCAAACCAACGCTGATGTTTCCACCAACCACAGAGAAAACTGTAGTCATTGGCATACACTAGATTAAAAATGAAATTATTTTTGGTGAATATATTCCAATTATTTTCCGATCATCTGTATATATATAGAGAGAGAGTAGGGAATACCCTCTCCCCTTAATCAACAATCACCAAGAATTAAAACAGCTCAATCACCAATCACGAAGATATATATTCAGGTCAATCACCAATCACTAAGAATTCCTGAATCACGTACGTTTCACGCAGAATATTATTGGGCTCAAATAATGCATCATGCTCAAAAAAAAAAAAAAGGTCAATTACGCAGAATGCAAAAGGTATTTCCTACCCTCAACAAACAGAATTTTGCATTAAGCAGCTATATGGCATTCTGAAGTCAGTTTCTTCGGNCCCCCCCCCACCCCCACCCGTCCCCAGCACCATAAGATCACCCTGTTTCAGGCCGTGACTTTAATACTTTTTCCACACCAATTCGAGACATCATACATAGAATTAACTTTTCAGTTAACAGAGTACACATTTGATTTTACTAATAACTTAGCAAGCTGTAATCCATTCCCTTTTCCAGCTACGGAATAAAAACCCCAATAGGCCATGGTATGAAAATCACAAATTACCTGTTATATTTCATGCAAACATGGTAATTCTTTTAAAAAATTATTCAGAAACAGGGAAAGATTATGCACAATCTCACATTATAGTTCTGACATATTTTATGGGAATGCTGGTAGGAGAGAAAACTGAAGCAGTCGTTGCTTTCACCAGATGAATCATGTCAGAAGTCCAGCAAAAGGGACATATTCAGAAGTACAAGCACTGCTTTCTTTTCCTTTTATTTCTGTCATGCATTGGGATTCTCGCCAGCTATGTCAGCTACTTGTGCGGCATGTCTCTGTCAACAAGGAATCCCTTATCTTTTCAAGCAGCACTCACAGCTAGCAAACGCACCAAGTTACTTGGCAACAAAAACAGCCTGCGTGATGCCACAGGTATGGGGAGGTTGAATGTGAAAAATGATCCTTCAACCCAAAGCAGCCAGGAAAAGTTGGGTGAAAGTGGCAAAGATAAAACAGGTAAGAAGATCATCAAGAAAATCCAGACAAAAAGAATGGATACAAAACATCGCCGTTATGATGATAACTCATCATTCAATAGTAAGCAGGGAAAACAAGGTGATAGCGAGCATGACGAACACCAAACCACCACCGCCATAGTACGGCAGACGATCACCTTCCCATTAAAACAGGACAACAAGAGACATTCAAGTCAAACTCAAATAGGTAGAAGTGGAAGTAATGTTACACTTGATGTGAAAAGACATGACTGCTCAAAGACAAAATGTCAATATGTCATTTGGCAGTGTCACCATCACTGCATGGGATGGGGAGATCGATTGCGTGGCATCATCTCAGTCTACGCGTTTGCCATTTTAACAGGGAGAGAATACAGGATTTCACATACTTTTCCTTGTAACCTAAAAAAGTTCTTTCATGGGAATAAAACTCCATGGGACAAAGAAGACATAACAGCAAAACATGCTACAATCAGAGATATTAAGCTTTTTGGTTTCAAATTAACATTTCAGAACTGGGTTCTTCAGAGTTCTAATCTCTCAGAGACTTTTCCAGAAGACATCATCACTTTCCGCACTAATGACGATATCATACCTTATTTAAGGTTTAACAAAAATTTCACAAAAACTATTGAAAAAGCCTTCAACATGCCAATCGAGGACTTCCATTATGTCACTCTGTTCAGACGTCTCTTTCATGAGCTTTTCAGTCCCAACAAACGATTCCAAAAGAAATTTCAAAAATATTACCATCTTTTAAAACCCTCAAATGACTCTACCCTTGTCTGTGCTCAGATTCGTCTGGAATTCATTAAACCTTCAGGAATGAAAATTGTTTTTAAATTTCTCCACGAGACCATCAAACGTGTTGGAAAAAGTAAACTATTTGTATCCACTGATGCAGAAGATGTAAGAACAGCAGCCAAGATGTTATTTCCTGACCAATTGGTGGACATAGAAGGTCCTCTGAGTCACGTCGATGAGCCAAAAGCAGGATGCAGAGACATGGAAAAAGCTTTAACAGATTTCCTCATGCTTTCAAAATGTGATATTCTAATCCATAGCCCAAGTGGGTTTAGCCAGCAAGCAGCCATGTTGAAATACCCCTACAAAGATGTCTACCAAATCAGTCGCGCTGGTATTATAAGAAAGCTTACAATCCCCATCTTCAAACTGGAGAAACAGTATGTTCAGCTGGGACCTTTGGAAGGGAAGCTACCTCTTAGTTTACCATCTAAGTACATCAAAAACCCACAGAAATATTTCACATAATGCTTTTCAACTTTTTTAAAGTATATATACAACTGTTTGCTGTTCTTATTTATTTTTTTTATTAATCTTTTACCTGTTTTACCTCTTGAACCATAATAAAACATGATATTCATTGAAAAATAATTTCAATGAAATGTGGGTAGCTAGAAGGTTTATATGGGATATGTATAATATTTTAAACAACTAGGTCTGAGGAAATATATAACTGACTAACTGATTGAACTATAGGTTTTTATCAAGGATTTTCAACCAAACTGAATTTTTCACTGAGAAAAATACAAGATTACTGTATAACTGATTTCACAATAAAGGATTTACTTTTGGGAGTCTATGGGGTATTTCTTCTACACATCTCTTCGCAAATATAGCAATGACCAGTAGAAGACCTTTGGACACTTAAGGCCCACAACCAATCAGAAGCAAGACTTGCCAATTAATTATTATTGTGTTAACACATGGTCAGGCATCAAGATCCAGTCTCTTCCTTGCTGATGGACAGGGATGAAATTCTTAAGTGATTTTTCTTACATGTTTGACACAAGTAAAATCAGGTAAGCTTGCCAATTTTTATGCTTCTCATTATTCATCTGTAAATTGTGTCACATCCTCATTTCTGCTGCTTTTTTACTTTTCCACTTTTTTCTTTTCCACCACCCACGGTGGCACCCATCAGCGTTTATTTTGGTGGGGCGCATTAGCATTCTTACCTTTAATAATTACATCTTCATTTTCAATGAATTTTTCATTACATTATTTTAAGCTGTTAAACCTTGCTGCCTTATTCTCATTATCTTCCCCGTGTTGCGCATCCTACTGACTTCCTTCACTTAAAAGTTTCTGACTTAAATTATTAAACATATAGAAAACTGTTTATTTACTCCTAACAGTATTATAAATACAATTTTGTCCTCCTTACATTGCTCAACACATTCCTGCACTTGGATTCAAAGTTTTAAACCATTTCTCAATATTAAATAAGTAAGTTTCCAATGACTGGAAAGTCGTTTAGACTGCCACGTCTTCCTATAATAAGGACATCATGTATGATGTACTGTAAATAATTTGAGGGGTACTTGTTAAAATACTTAGCTCTGCAGGATATGCACAAGTAGATATAGAAAATGTTAGTTTAAGACATTTTCAAACACAGAGTATACATGTTCCTCTAACATTCCTCTTAAAAAAACACACTATTTGGCTAATGTGTACAGTCCTATGCTATAACATGGACTCATTATATATATCAAATATGTCCACGGCCTTGGTGAGTCATATCATCACAAACTCAGGGGTGAGTTGAGACGGTCAGATTTTCAATTTTACACTGACGTGTGTCTAATTTTTTTGCTGCCGGAAGAAGGTCAAAAAATGGAGGATGGATAAACAAAGATAATTTGGAAGACAGTCAGAAAAGATCTCTGGATCCACCCCTGAATACGTCTGAGGCCCAGGTTAGTCATATCACCACACACTCACCTTTAACTAAGTAATACACCAGCAGTGCTGCCATGTGTTCAGACTGTTCTTCACTGGCGCCTGCCGTAAGACTGAGCCCAGACTGTTGGTACAGCACTTCCGCACTCACGCACCCCTAGGAATGGGAACAAACACATATGATTTTACGTCTACCGTACAGTCCGGTTCTTATACACTACAGTGTCAAGTTAACTGGGTCTTAGTGCTGTTCATAATTTTCCCAGCTTTTTTTCTTTCTTTCTTTTGTATTATTTATTTATTTATTTATTTATTTATTTATTTATTTATTTTTGGCAGATTCAAATTGTCTGTAGATGCTTCTAGCTCCAGGGAGCAGATAGCTCTGCATACCATGCCCATACAGTACTACAACATTTATTGACTTTTACGAACTGAGGACAAAATCATCATCATCACAATGTATTAAAAATTTTTTTCTGATTTTGTGAATCACAGTCAGAAAAACAAAAGCTTCAGAAATCAAATGAACTTAGAAATCATTTCATTGACATGCATAAGACAACACTTTTATTATTAATTTCCCAGATTACCGCAGCACCCTGGCCTGTATTAGGTGTGTAGGTTTTGTTGACATCTTCTAGGTAATGTTCCCACTGATGAAGGGTACTGTAATTGGTCGGAGTGGAGCCATGTGGACTGGTCAGAAACTGAAAATGTGTTATAAAACATCACCACCATGTTAAGAATCAGTCTTTCTGTGACGGACCAGTTAATCATTTCCACAAAATCTATGATTAAATAAAAATGCATAACACTACAAAGAAATAATATATGCTATGTTTACTTATTTCTATCTTTTACTCTTTAAAAATATTAACAAATTTTATGTTCAAATATACAAGGTGTTTAACACTTAACTTTGTATGATCTTACTTGAAAAGTAAGGCATTTACATTTATTTGTTTGTTAATTGAATAATGAATCACTACACTCCAACACAAAACTTCAGTTAATTTTATTATATAAATCAAAAAGTTAATAAAACTGGTTAACTTCTTGGAAACAAGCAAAATGATTTCTCCATTAGTTACAATCAATTATACCTTCATAATGGCATCTGCAAAGAAGCTGAATGGCAATGTGGAATTCAAATTGCACACCCCACTCTCCTGACCGTGGAGGAAGTAAAGTATGAGCACGCTGGCCTGGTTGTACTGCTCCTCGCTCAAACCAACGCTGATGTTTCCACCAACCACAGAGAAAACTGTAGTCATTGGCATACACTAGATTAAAAATGAAATTAATTTTGGTGAATATATTCCAATTATTTTCCGATCACCTGTATATATAGAGAGTAGGGAAGGCCCCCCCCCCCCCTTAATCAACAATCACCAAGAATTAAAACAGCTCAATCACCAATCACGAAGATGTATATTCAGGTCAATCACCAATCACTAAGAATTCCTGAATCACGTACGTTTCACGCAGAATATTATTGGGCTCAAATAATGCATCATGCTCAAAAATTAAGGTCAATTACGCAGAATGCAAAAGGTATTTCCTACCCTCAACATACAGAATTTTGCATTAAGCGGCTATATGGCATTCTGAAGTCAGTTTCTCCG